AGGGAAAAGTAAGAAAGAGGAAAGGAGTCACAGTCCCAGCAAGACAAACAGCATTAAACCTCAAGTACCTACACAGTCTCTTGGATGGGTGCTCTGCTTTGCAGGCCCAGTGGTACCCATCTTCCACCTTCCTGATTGGGTCTCCTGCCTCTGAAGCTTTGTCAGATAGAGCTTCTATCTCTAGATCCTTGCCCCATGTCTTTGAATGGGCCACCCCATGGCTTGACCCATGACTCCTGTGGCTCTGCCCGGACCCCACCCTTTGAAATCAAGGTGAAGGAAGGCATATATCTGGGCTGCTGCACTTCTAGTGCTGGGAAGACAAATCCAAGCTGCCACCTCCAAAGTTTGTCACCTGTGTCCTACAGAAGTGCAAACGGAGACTTGTGTTTCTCGAGGTTACTGAGCTGCATAGGGGCTGTGGAGGACAGCAGCATAAGGGTGGGGAGCAGAGCCCACTTGGAACTGAAGGCTTTGTAGGCACCAAGGTGCTCTTCTTTGAAACTATTCTGCATCAGGCCTTGTGCTCTGGCCTGTTTGTGGAGGCTGAGAAGTCCCACCCACTGCCATCTACAAAGGTGCAAACCCAGGGAAGCTCTGGACAGCTTAGCCCAGGTCTAAAGGCCTGAGAATTCAAGAGTGGAGAGTGTGGGTCCCATTCTGAATCCCAAGCCTGAGGACTTGGGGAGAAGTAAGTGGCATCGGTATAAGTCCTAGTCCGAGTTTGAAGACTTTAGAGCCAGGGACATCTGTGTCTGAGGGCAGAACCTGATCAATGTCACAGCTCAAACAGGGAACAGGTCCCTCTCTCTGCCTTTCTGTACCATTCAAGCCTCAACAGATTGAATAACACCCATCCACACTGGGGAGGGTGGCTTCTTTCTTCATTCCACCAATTCCAATACTTGTTTTGTCCAGAAACATCTTAATGGACACACTCTAGCCAGGTGTGGTGGCACAAGCTTGCCTGTGATCCCAGCAGTAAGCGAGGCTGAGGCAGAAGAATCACAAGTTCAAACCCAGCCTGAACAAATTAGTGATTTAGTGAGACCTTGTCTCAAAATAAAAAGTTAAAAATGCTCAGGGATATAGCTCAGTGTAAAGGTCCTGGGTTCAAGCCCCAGTACTGAAAAAACAAAACTAGATACTTAGAAATAATGTTTACCAGCTCTTCAGGTATCCCTTAGCCTGGTCAAGTTGATGATTACATCATAGTATGGCTACATTTAACGCACACAAATGCAGGCAAGTTTTAAATTGGGCAGATTTAGGTATGTGTCCAATCTTGAAGAGAGGGTTTCCAATCCCTGGCCCTGGTTGTGTGTCTAATCTCCTGCTCACCAGAAGGAAAGCAAAGTACTTCCTCTCCCATGTTCCTAGGACAGAAACCTTCAGATAGACTAAAAGTAACCTTCAGGTAAACTAAAGGTGCTCCAGCTGTCTCAGCCCAGGCATGAGCACCCTCTTGACGTGAGGCACACCTTGCTGAGCAGACAACCTGACAACCACGTCACCCTATTCCTTCTCAGTGCTGATTGGCCATAAGTAAGGTTAGTTTGAAGTAGTAGCCTCTCCCTTCCTCAACTGCACTTCCTCCAAGTGCAGTGCAGAGAGACTGAGAAGCGGTGATGGGAAAGTGGTGGGCAGGGAAAAGGGTGGGAGGAAGCAGGAATCTGAGCTCATTGGACAGAGCTGGGTCCTCCCCACCCAGCAGTCTTGTTTACAAAATGACAGCGAAGCCATATCCCAAACCCCATTCTTGTCTATGTCTCCACATCATCCTGTGGCCCATTTTCCAGTTCACTTCATGGAAAAGCAAGACTACATTGACAGAAATTCGGAATCCCAATCACTAGGATGTTAACTCACCAGTGACAGGACATCAGGACTAAGCTTCTAACAGCTCATAGGACCTACATAGTCAGAGGAAGAACCTCACAACTTGGTCATTGTTCCAGATACTAAATCACAGCTACAAACATAAAAGTATGAAATAACATACTCAGCAGTTGTCTTCACTTCAGAACACAGTGTGTAGAGTGCTCTTACCACTTGGGTCAGTGTCCACTTGTAACCCTGCTCGTTCATCTCTCTGTACTGAGCTTGCCACCTCTCTCTCTTCCTCTTGAGCCTCTCATCCTCTGTGCTGCTGTTATTTCAGGCAATGATAATGCACCTGACAAAGTGCACACTGCACCTATATCCCATGCAAGCTTTGTTCTACAATGAGCCTTAGTTTCCTTTCCCTCTTCTGCAAAGCAGCAGAATTGAATGATGTGTTCTTTAGGTCTGCCAGGCAATGAAATTCTGCCTCTTTCATTTGGGCAGAAAGATGACCTACTGTGTGCATACTTTTGTTCCCTGTCTGCTTTGGAGCTTTGGTCTCAGGGATTTAGAGAAACAAGGGACTCGAAGGCAAATGCCGAGAGTGGGGAAGCCACCGAGGCTCCTGGAACTCTGCCCACCACAGTGTCCCCAGGGCGCACTCTGCTGATCTCTGTGCTCTAAGGAATGTCACAGAGCACCACAGTGACAGGCTAGTGTTGGCACAGGAGTGGACAGAGCACAAAAGGAGCCCCTGGGAAGGTCAGTTAAAGAGGCATAGTGCCTGAAGCAGGCCAAGACCATGATCACTGCATCACCTCCTGAGTTTCTCTTGATAACCCTGTGGATCAGAGCCACCCACCCGATGCCCTTGAAGAGACAGAAGTAGGGAATAGCCTGCAGTAACGTAACATTGTCACAAGCCAGCCAGGAAAGTGACCCAGCAGCACCAGAGACACAAGTGGCATCCAGAGAGCTTGAATAACTGGGCACAAATGTCAAAAGTAAGAGTCTGTAGAACAGACTGTAGACCACCCAGGGGACCCAGGAATGAGGAAAGATTTCTGCTTTCTTAACTACATCAAAATGGGCAGTACCATGTAGCATCACTAGAGTTATTCCCAAACCCTTTCATCACCCAAAGAAACTCTGAAAGAAACCCATCATCCCCTTCTGTTCAGCTACTGATAGCTACTGCTCAATTTTCTGTCTGTGTGTTTGCATGTTCTAAGCCCTCCTTAGAAGGAAATCATACAATAGTTGTCCCCTTGTATCTGGCTTATTTCATTTAACATAATGTTTTCAAGATTGATTTTTATGGTATAAGTCTGAATAATATTGCTGAATAATATTTTTTAAAGCTGAATAATATTGTCTGTGTGTGTGTGTGTGTGTGTGGTGTGCATGGGTGTGTGCATGTGTGTGTCTACTACATTTTTGTTTATTCATTCTTCTGCAGGTAGAGACTTTAGTTTCTTGCATCTTTGGCTATTATGAGTGGTGCTGCTCTGCACATAGGTATCCTAATACCTGTCTAACTTGCTGCTTTCGAATTCTTTGGCTTTGTAGCAGACAATAGAATTACTGGATCACACCATAATTCTGTGCTTACCCTTTTGAGGAATCATCAAACTGTCTTCTAGTGCAGTCACTAATGCATGATTTGATATTCCTTCCTGCAGTGTAGGAGGCTTCCAATTTCCCCACATCCTCACTGACATTGGTAATATGTCACTTTATTATTATTGCTGTTATTAGTATACCATCCTTCAGGAAGCAAGTCTTAAATAAAACTTCAGGAGTACATGTTGCAAGTGCAAAATATGGGTGAATTTCAACATCTAGTCCAGTTGATACTTGCCATATTTGTCACGTTTGCCACAGCAGAAACATCTAAAGAATTTTCCACCTCACTCCCATGAGCCTTCAGGAAGCCACTTGGATACTTCTTAGGTGTACAGTTAGCTTGTGAAATTCAGAGTTGTTCTTTTTCACGGGTAGGTACTCTTCTCTTTGTCCATTTGTCTCCCTCAAAACATAATTACATTTGCATTCCAGGATGGCTAAAGTTGAGACAGCATCAAGAAGAATAATGCTGGGGCTGGGGATTTAGCTCAGCAGCATAAGCACCTGCCTTGCAAGCAGGCGGTTGTGACTTCGATGCCTGGTACCGATAAAAATGAAAAAGACAAAAAAAAAAAAAAAAAAGAAGAAGAAGAATGCTGTAATTTGTTAAACATACTAAATTAAAATAAAATATACAAGATACAATCAAAACAATGAATATGTAAATTTTAACATGTATCACAGTAAAAGGCACATTGCTATTAATCCTGCTCAAAATCCTCCCTCTCTTTGAAACACAATGACCCCATCATTCTTGCCATTTTCTGAAGCAGTTTCAAAAGTCTTCTTTGGTAAATGTACACTATTACACCTGCTTCATGTCCTGAATTGATTCAAAATGTTTACTGCAATTTCTGTCAAATAGCAATATTTCTGGTGTGTCCTCATCCATCTTATTCACTGTACCTGGCACCTTGTGACTTCTGGCTCTTTCCCAAAGTCAAAATGACCTTGAAAGGTAAATGTTGACAAATAAATCAGTTTACAACTCATGTAATGTGAGACTCTTGACTAGATCGTGGGTTGGAAAATATATGAGCTGTAAAAGGGTCTGAGTTCAGAGGTTAACATGGGTTGAACGTCAGATGATGTAAAATGAGCAATAGTTTCCTAGATGTGACACCAGATTAGTGTTGTGTAAGAAAGTCTCCTTATTTTTAGATGTGCGTAAAGGCAGCTTGTAAAATGCTATGGTTTCTACAATGTTTTATTGGTATGTGCTTTTTATTAGTATGTTTTTATTAGTATGTAAAGAATACTTTTATTGTGAATAGTTGGTACACATAAAGACCACATTTTAATTATTTTTACCCCTCCCCTGGCAAGACAGACAGACACAAAGAGTGAAAAAGCAAATGTTTTGTAACGGAAGTAATTAAGAATAGATTGAGAATATAGGATGATCATTATACTGCTCCAGGTTTTGTATACATTACAAGGTTTCTTATACCAAGTTGGGGGATTCATTTAGCTCATATTTTATATTTGGTGTTTGTTCCTCGGTACTCCAAATTCCCACCTCTTGAAAGCCTTTTGTTTCTGTCCTGCAGTCCGAGACCGAGTCAGATCAAAGATGGAAAGAGACATCTTGGCTGAAGTAAATCACCCTTTCATTGTCAAGCTCCATTATGGTAAGTATGGTGTGGCACAGGACCTGCTCAGGGGGGCTCAGGGCAGCTTCCTCCAGATCAAAGGAAACTGGACAAAATAATAGATAAGAAAGAAGAAAATCCTCCCTGTGTCACAGAATCCTGTCCTGGCTGGTCCACAATCCTTAATCTCTTATGTTTATTTTCCCTCAGAAAGCAAGATGCCTTTTGTTCATCCCCAAGGTGTCATCTGAGATGGGGCTGCCCATTATTATAAATTTGTCACCATTGCTAATCAGTACAAAGGTCTTCTGACCTAGACAGGGATGAACTGTGATGTATTTTGTGTTGTTTCATAATAAAATATTTTGTGGCCCAATAATTTCATTAAGCCCTACTGTCTAACATTATCTTTTAAGTGACTGCTATATGACAAACACTTTAAAAACTAGGTTCAGCAAACCTTCTAACTGCCGCTGAAGGTGGGTAATTACTTCCATCTTTTGCGGACCAGAGCAAGTAGTTCAGTGAAGACCATGTATTTGCATTGTCATATGTTGGCTCTGCCTCTGCTTTCATCAGAAAAGCAGTAAGTAAAATCTTCAAGTAAAAAATGGGATGTAAAGATAGCTAGGAGTTACCATGCCATGCTGAAGTTTACTTGCCAAGTGATTACAGTACAGGAAAGAGCGAGGAAGCTTCTCTGCTGTGTGCTTGGAGAAACAGAGGGACCCTCATCCCTTCCAGCCTACGACAGCTGTGGTTACAGCCTCCTCTGGCTTTCTCCTTTCCCACACTCCTCCAGCTGCTGCTGATTTACTAGGGTCAGCTCCAGGCTGACTTGTCATTTAAAGAGATGCCTAGAGCATTTTCCTGAATAATTTAAGAATTGGGTATCTCACAAAGATATGTGTGTGTGTGCGTGTGTGTGGTACTAGGGATCATGGGTAATGCTACCACTGATCTACATGCTCTGCACTTTTTATTTCTATTTTAAGACAGAAACTTGCTAAGTTGTCCAGTCTAGGCTCAAACTTGCAATCTTTCTATCTTAACCCCCTGAGCAGCTGGGATTGCAAGCATGAACCATCACACCAGGAACAAAGACTTTTTTTTTTGGTCATGGGAATTGAACTCATGAGTTCTACCTCATGCTTTCCAAGCAGGTGTTGTGCCACTGAGCTGTGTCCCCAGCACCTAGATTCTCTGGGTTACCTCTCTAAAGGGCCACACTGTCACCAACTGCCTATCAAGCCCTAGGACGGTCATGTACTCCACTCTGTAGTGTACACTTAAAGGGTTTTTCAGTTAGAGGCCCTGGTTCTAAATGCCAGCATTTATAATGATTTCAGCATTTATATTTAGAAACTTAGAAATTTTTGAGTACACCAATATCAGGATCCTTTTCAGCCCTGCTTTTTGTGTCTAGAAACAGAGACCAGATGGCAAGCCTTCATACTGATCTAACATACCTAACAGATTCCCACAGTGACCTGGCTGTCACAGCAATGGTCACACCCCCTGGTTTATCCTGGTTCGCATGTGTGTGTGCACCTGATCTCCAGGGCAAGAGGTCCATCCTCACTACACCATGCAGGAGGGCCCTTGTGGGCAGCCATGACCTGAAACATAGATAGGAAACCCGCACTGTCACACACGGTCTCCAGGGAACACAAATTCATCACTGTGACACACAAGTAGTCCCACTGACCAGTCACCAATACTGCCAGAGAAGGTAAGTGGCAGGTCCTCTTGTTTTCTAAGTTGCTAGCATGTAGATATATGATACATTGCTTCAATATTATCAGGACATTTGGATAGGACTCTCTAACTACTGCTCTGCAAAAGTCAGCTTCCTGGAGAAATCCAGCTATACTCAGCTAATTAACTGTGGGAACACTAAGAACAAGTTTGCATAAGGAATTGCCTGTCTATGGATCCTTTTATAATTAAAAGAGGAGGAGGAAGAAAGGAGAAAAAAAAAAAGAAAATGCTCGAAGACTCCAAAGAAAGTGAGACATAGAACTTATTGTCCCTGTCCTTCCCTAACCTCCACTGTACTTCTGAAGTGACATCTTGCAAATCATTTGAGTCCTGTATAAGCCAAAGAGAAACCAGAAATGGAAACCACAAAGAGATTGTTATAGGGACCCCCATGCACTGTCAAGGGCTCACCTGTTCCTCCTTCTGCAGCCTTTCAGACAGAAGGAAAACTCTACCTGATCCTGGACTTTCTGCGTGGTGGAGATCTCTTCACCAGGCTATCCAAAGAGGTGAGCTCCCTGCTACCGCTGTGTGATTCTGCCTGCAGTTCTGAAGTTGGGGGAAGTAGCCTGTGAGGGGGAGCGTGTGGTGTCTGGTTGGGTGAGTGTGTGGTGCATGTAGTTGTATGATGTGGAGGGTGTGTGGTATATATGTAGTGTATGTGGTACAACATGTGTACTATGATATACATGTGTGGTTTATGTATGTTGTACGGTATGTACATGTGGTATCTGTGTGTAATGTGGTATGTGAGATATGTGGTTTGTGGTATACGTTTGGTGCATAGTATGTGTTATATGGCATGCATGTTGTATGCATAGTATAGGATGTTATGTATGTGATATGTGGGGGTGTGTATAGTGTTTGGTGTGTGTGCACATGCAGTGCACGTATGTTGGTGTCCAACCACACACACAGCTTCAGAAACTGGCAGCCTGCTGTCCCACTCTGAGCTCCGTCAGCTCTGTAGAAGCCTGGATTGATGCTGACCTCTAGTAACTCAGCTAAGGGCATCTCAGGGTGCCACTGGGTGGCCCAGGGAGGCTCTGAGGTCCTCATGGCCTGAGGAGCACTTGGTGCCATGGGATGGAGGAGGCCAGAGCCCAACTCACACTGGGCTTTCACGCCAGTGATTCTGTGGAATGCCATTTTAGATACAGCAAAGAACTGAGAAGGAAGCACATGCTAATTTAGCATGAGGAGCTAGTATCTTGTGCCTCAAATGTCTTTCTGTTGTGGTGGTTTTATCTCCCTGTCACCATGGAGTGTCAGCTGCCCTCTCCCTTTCTCCGCCCTCCCCACATTTCAGCAGGAACCCTCTTGTCTGGCATAAACCCAAAAGGGACAATAGGTGGAGGCAGGGGTCCCCAGGTCCAAGGCTGTTTTCTCCACCATCCAGTGTCCCTGGAACCACGGCACACTGCACATGGGGCTGTTTATTTAGGGGGACAACATGGATGAGAAAAGTCTCTTCTGTGTTCTGGACCAAGTTCTTGAGTCCAGGGACCTATCCATTGACAAGCATCTGCTACTTTCTCATGCAATATTCATTAGTTTGCTCTCTGCTTGTCTCATTTATAGGAAATCCACCACTGGGGTCTGCTTGCAACCAGCATCTAGTCTAAGGCCTAGTGGTCACGTTGTCTAGCCGAAGGCAACAATAATTCACAAAAGGCCCCATAAGTCCTCATGGTGGAGACATGTGAGATCCTTTTCTGTAGAGCAGATGCTGTCTCGTGGGTGCACAGGTTCTTGGAATGTGGAAACATAAAAGGCCTCTGTGTTCTCTTGGTCAGCAGCAGTGTAGGCAGCGTCCTGTCACATGCAGGACACTGTGTCTGCCTTCAAGGGACCCATATTCATGGTAACTTACTTGTCTTTCTACTTAGGGACCACACTAAGCAGAAAAATACAGTGGCACTATGAGTAATGAACTGAACACAGGACCTATGGTGTCAGCACAGTGATGTAGAGTCCATTGAGAGTGAAAGTGACAGTGGGTAATTTTGACTGTCAGCAAACCCACTGGATAAACTGGTGATTTTAGAGAAGGAACATCATGCAGGAAAGGTTCTCATCACCCATGGGAAATGGAACAGGGATTCCAGAGTCCAAAGGTTGAAAGAGTTGGAGTCATTGTCCAAGACCCTGCAGCTCCAACTGAAAGTGTCCTTTCAAGTGACAGCCTGGTCTCTTCCAAGCACATAGCTGTCCCAGCCACTTGAGAGCCTCTGCCCCTGATACCTACCCTCTCCAATGAGCCTCCCCAGCTTATGTGTGCTGCCTTTGGTAGAAATAATCTCTTTGGGCAGCCAGTGATTTAACAGGGTTTCTTTCCATCAACCTGAGGGGTGAAGGCCTTAGAACTAAGGGAAGAAAGAAAGATTTGAGATCCACATGCTTTTCTATCCTTCGCTGTATGCCTTAGTTATTCACACTGCATGGTGATCAACTTGCATCGGAAGCACTCATATTCAAACAGGAACCTAGAAACACACTCCAGAGCTGAGCAATTCCAGAGGACAAGTAGGACAGGCTGGCAAAAAGAAAACTGTGTCCGAGGACTCCAAGTCTGTTTCTCACTGACCTTAAAACTGTGAAAACTCACCCTTCCATTAGAGAAGCCAGAACCACGTTGTGAAAGGTCCAGAACGTGTACCATGTGTGTCTTCCTGGGCTGAGTCACGGATTCCTTAGAATGAACATCCGGGAAATGGGCAGACCAGCAGTGCCCTCTCTCCCTACAGGTTATGTTCACTGAGGAGGATGTCAAGTTCTACCTGGCAGAGCTAGCTCTGGCTCTGGACCACCTGCATGGCCTGGGAATCATCTACAGGGACCTGAAGCCTGAGAAGTAAGTGAGGGAAAAGTGGAGAACACCATCATCCTGTCACCCACCTGTGGATATTCTCCAGGACACATTGGTGGCCCTTGTCCAGTATTTATTTCCTAAGTAAATTCATTTCAGACAGTGGGCTGGGGACAGACCCATGTTATAATTCCAGTAGGGTGAGGTGCCACCTTCCAACCCTGAAAAGGTGCCCAAGCTGTATAATGTCTCTTGCCCAAATCTGTTCCCACCTGATCCTCATGAAGGCCCGAGAGCAGCAAGGCCCAGGTTCATGTGCCCAGCATGTGGGTGCCCCAGCAAGTGAGATGGGAGCCCATGGCTCTAGTTCCATGTTTCCACCCCCTCTAAGGGAGGTCACCACTGCCATTAGGGACTACCTTGAGCACGACATTTGCCTGTGCCTCTCCCCTACTTATATCCTGGCTTCAGATTTAGGGAGCTTTTCAACTATTTCAACAAACCTAAGAAATATGATCAATTTTCTTCCTCTTGGTTGACTTTTTGATTCATTTACAGGTGATGAGCCGCCCAGGAGATAGTGGCCTCAGAATCCCCAGGCCAAGATCCCACCAAAACCATAATCTCTCCTATATAATTTCTGGGATAGTCTAACAAATTAATCTAAATTAAAATATTAATATCCCTCCAAAGTGCTCCTATTTCAGGGTTTTTTCTTATACATTTTTGTGGACTGATACAAACTCAGAGGTACCTGCTTAGGAGATCCAGTAGGTGGTGATTTAAGTTCTACTGGCTGAGCTGTACTATGTCCCTGAGGTTAAGTCATTTATTTCTCACGTGCTACTTGCTACCCGTGAAGCTGAACTGTGTCGCCTGGAGACCACAGCTCATGTCTACCCAGATGAGGTGCTACCTGGTGTGGTCAGCCAGCATGGACACCTCTGTGCTGCAACAGTAAGGGGTCCCAAGGTCAGGGCAGACACCAGCCCCTGCTCCTTGTCCCTCTTGTCACCTGCACTGTTCTGAGATAAAGATAAAGACAAATATCTCCCTGAGGCCAGCTTGGTAGATGTGACTGCCATTTATAGGAAACATCTGAGTTTGCCAGATGACAGGTGACATATGTGAAATGTATCTGCCATGTGCATGACACATAGCACTGGGCTCTGTCATTGCTATGACTCAGTAGAGCATCTCTGACTGCACCTGGTGTGCATTTGCAGACAACCAGAAGAGGCCTTATAAGCTACAGCTGTCTCCCTGAAGCAGCGAGGACTCGAGGCCAAACTGCCTTTCAAAGCGGATTTGCCTGTCTGTGAAGGTCATATCAGAAGTCAGAGTCATGAGAATTGCCTTCCAACTAAAGCATTGCAGGGTGAAGTCCTGTGCTGGCAGTGCGCATCCAGAGCTGTAGTAGTTACCCTGCAGCCTCAGTGAGTGAGGAGCTCTCTCCCACTCTGTACACATGAAGCAAGAAGCGCTGGTCCTGGCTTTTTCTAAAAGGTCAAAGTGATTCTCGCAGCCAAAAATAGTAATATTTAATTGCAGGGTAAAGAGAAAGAGTTCATGGTTCAATTAGAGTCATTAGGGAACAAGTCTTGAAAATTGCTTGATTTCTGATCAAAGACTGCATATAACCAAAAAGCAAAGATAAACCAACCATCTGCCTCATTAATTATAACTTGTCATCTTAATTAATATTCTGTGACCCTTCCCTTCTTTGCTTTTCCATAAACAGTATACATGCTTTAATCCCATGGCAGGATTTTTAAATTATGTTAGAATACAGATAACATTTACCACTTTAGCCACAGTTAAGTGCACAGTGCAGTGGCATTGAGCACATTTTCAGTGTGGCGCAGCCATCACCACCATCCTTGTCAGAGCACTTTGAGTTCTACAGAGCTGAAACTTTCTTCCTGTTAAGCCCCACCCCACATCCTCTCCCCTAGCCCCGGCGACCCCATTCTACTTTTGTGTAGGTGAACTTGATGACTCAAGGGGGTGCAAGTGAATGGAAACCCACAGGGGTTCTCTTTCTGTGGCTGGACGACTTCCCTCAATACAACATCCTCAAGGCCATCTAGGCTGCAATCTATGGCAGTTTCCTTATTTCTCAGACGTTTTATAAAAATAATCACCATATATTGTTCCTCACAGTTTTACTTTTATTTTCTCTCCAGTCCACTTTTTTGTCTCTTTGAGACTGGGCTGGTATCTCCAAGGATCTCACAGGAGATTTAATGACAATCCAAAAAATAGCTGAAGAAGGTGGGAACCCTGGGATCAGGAGGTGTCACAGTCCCAACTCCAGCCTGCAGCCTAAAGGAGAAGGCCTGACTGACGGGGGTATCCCCATGCCCCAACCTAAAGACTCACCTCCATTCTCTAGCAAAGAGTTCAGTTACCAGCACTTGACCACTGGGAAGAGCAAAGTCAGCTTTCCACTCGTGGTGAGACAAGGCTAAGTAGGAACAAGACTAGTGCCTAGGGGTTGTCTTACCAGGACTAAGTCTCATCACAAAATGAAGCCTGAGGAACCCCAAGAGTGTTTCTTTTCTGAAGCCCAAGTTTGTGCACCCTTCCAGCCAGAAGCCAGGGTTGTTCTTAAAATCTAAGGCTGGATTCAGGGAGGGACAAAGGGCGATGTGGATCTCCAGGAATAGAGGATTTCTCAGTACTCTGCCAGGCAATCATGGGTTCCCCTCTTATTCCTGCAGGATAGATTAGAGGCTCCCAGCCTCTAGAAAGAGGTTCCTCTTTCTGGGAACTCAGAAAGTCTCAAACCTGCAATACTCAAGTTCAAGAATAAGGTGCCTTTATTACTCTCCTGGACTGGCAGAAGCCATGGGATAGGGAAACGGCTATCAAAGAACCAGTCTACACCCAATAGGGGGCACAGTGTAGGGTACAAGACCCTCAAGCTGCCCAGGACCTAACCTTGTATGTCAGATGTGGGGGAGGCAGGGCTGGTCTCTCTTAAGCCTGTTTTCTGTCCCTTTCTTTCAGCATCCTGCTGGATGAAGAGGGGCACATCAAGATCACAGGTTCGTAAGATAATAGGCTTCCTCCATGACTTCCTCTCAGCCCTTGTAAAGTTGAAGATCACTTCAAAGCCACACAGCCTTTTGTCCCACTGGCATTGCCAGCTATTCATTCATCTATGATGTGGCTGAATTTTCAAGGACATGGGCTACTGTGCTTTAAGTCTTTACAGAGTAGGAAGCATTCAGACTCACCCCACCCCCATGCCCTGCCTGAGTCCTCTCAGGGCCTGTGCTCTGAAGGTGACCCTGAGCCAGTGTGGACCCCCAGGCAGACGTCAGGGTCACTGTAGCATGTCCCCCCCTGTCTTGTGGCTTTTACCACATCCCTGGCCATGACCCCTGCCTGTTTGGAAGCTACCCCCTCATCTCCCTTTTGCATCCAAACCATGTAGCTGCCAGCAAATTCAGCCAAACTGAAAACACCATCTTATGCCACAATGCCCCACTGCATTAGCTTCCTATGGCTGCTGTAGCAAATCACCAGAAATTCAGTTTCCTAAAACAACACAAATTATCATATTATAGTTTCAGAGGCCACAAATCTCACAGGAGTCAGTGCAAGATATCAGCTGGCCACAGTCCCTCCAAAGCCTTGGGGAAACCCCTTCCTTGCATTCCCAGCTATTAGAGGCTGCCCCATCACTTGGCACAGTCATGTCCTTCACCCTCAATGCCAGCAAAGCACAGTTTTCCTATTCCTCTCCTTGAATTCTGTCCTCTCCTTCACACAAAGACCCTTGTGATGATGTTAGGTCAACCCAGATAATTTAAGACAATCTTCCACCTCCAGGTCCTTAACGACACCAGCAGGTTCCCCCTGGGAGATCACCTGTTTTCAGGTGGGGGTAGGATGTGACCATCTGTGGGCCCCATATTCTGCCTTCTCATCCCAGTTCTCATCCCTTCTTCACAGTCCTTCCAGTTAGGAACCTTCTTCCAAACCTTGCCAGTCAAGAACCTCCCACCTGAGTCACCCATCCCTCCTCTTGCCTCTCCTGTGCTATCAGAGAAACACCATATGCCTCAAGCCTGTATCCCCCACTGTCCAAGGCCTCTTGATGCTTATTTATGGACAAGAATCTCCAGAAGACTTCATGTCAGCCACAAATAAGCTTCTTATTATTGTTTCAAGGCCCTCCAGAAGTTACAAACTCACAGAAACTAGCCCACCTTGTGGCTTTTGGCCTCAAGAAGTGAGGCCACACTGCCTGCTCTCTCAGGCCTAGTGGTGAGCCTCAGTAGGGCTCTGTTGCTCTTGAGTGGGAAGGAGGGAGGAAGGGAGGGAGGGAGGGAGGGAGAGTGAGAAGGAGTCAGTCCTGTGCCCAGGTGGCAACATTGACAGGAGTGACAGAGTCTGTATAGGGCCAGCCATTTACCCAGCTCAGAGTATGACATGGTGCCTTGTGTTTGCGTGCACTTAGATTTTGGCCTGAGCAAGGAGGCCATCGACCATGACAAGAGAGCCTACTCATTCTGCGGGACCATAGAATACATGGCACCTGAGGTGGTGAATCGGCGGGGACACACTCAGAGCGCCGACTGGTGGTCCTTTGGAGTGTTGATGGTAATGACTTGTCCTCAGTGACCTCCTTGGCAAAGGCAGGTGTCCCGTGCAGACTTTCCCACTCAGGTTTGTCGAGGGCCTGGAGCCAGTGGAGAGAAGTCTCTGGTACCCTGGTCTCTGGCATGAGGAAGACAGTGATTTCTGAGCATGTCCTGACAGCATCTTCCTCTGTCCATTTCAGCTTCCCACTACAACAACATGGAACTGGTATTCAAATAATAATGCAAGTGCATTAAAGATCCAACCTTTATATGAAACGCTTTTACAGATTAGCAAGAATTTCTAAGGAATTCAGGGATTTCCACATGAAAGATACTTTTACTTCAAACATAAAATCCTAAACATAAAATGTTACCTGTATTCAAACATAAAATCCTAAATTATTAGCCATAAAGTTTAGCAAAGTATACATGAAATTAAACATTTTTGCATCTACTTTTAGAAAGGAACATTCCTCCCAGGCAGAGCCTATCAGCAAATGCTGCTGAGACCAGGAACTCCACCATCACAGTCCCAATTCCCACAGGTGCTCATAGTAATTCTCTCCTCTCCCTCCTCCTCCCACGTGAGCAGGGCAGAGTCTCATGACCCAGCACAGCCTCTGTGTGGGCCAGACTCTCTGCCACTCTGGAATTAGACATGGATGGTAGTCAGTCTTGCATTTTAGGGTCTCCATGACCCCTACCCTATCGGTACATTTCCTAAGGAGAAGACAAAGTAGGGGTGCTTTAGTAAGTGTGATGATGGTCAAGCAGCCAGCACCAGATATGACCGTGTGCATCTGAACTGAGCTGCCTTTATATACCTACCATCTCCTCTCTACCACCACGACAGGACTCCAATCAGACAAGTCCCCTGGGAACTTCATGCTGATGTCTGAGGCTTTAGGGACACTCCTCAAGGTCATCAATTTCCTTAGACCTAGTGCTACCCAGGGTTCAGAAATCCTGGCTATGCAGACACAGATTGCTAAACTCTCCCTGGGGCACAGTGTCCATCAAACCAGCTGGGGAGATGATTTGGCTCACAGGAAGAAATGCCAACACTACATCAGGGGTTGCTCCTGCCCACAGAATTAGCATGTCTTACTCACTTTGACAACTTTAAGGAAGGTTAAGTCTTAGTGAGAATCAGCTTGGCCAAATGGAGTCACAACAGAATCCTTCATCTGAACAGTTAATGTATGCAAAGTGCAAGGTGACTTCATAAAAGCTCAGTAAATGTTAGCCAGATTGGTGGTGATGTTTGTTGTTCATAATTATTCAGGCCTGTAATGGAAAGAGCTAAGATGCAGTTCAACTTAGTATTGAAGACCATATCTGTCTCTAAGGTTTCCATTTGCTTTCATCTGATCAAAAGAGTCTTTCTTTAGATATGGTAATAAGGCAATTAATTATCTTCATGGTGATTTTTGAGGAATAGCTCTGCTCCCATTCTAATAGTTTCCTCTGAGTCTCTGAGTAGACTCAGCAGGTGAGGGTGATGCACCTCTCTGAGGTCCCTCACCCTTCCTGAGATCCAGGTTCTCTTAGAGTGGGAGACCATCATGACGTAAGTCTAGGCTCCCTGCTGGACTTCAGGCTTCCTCTGGTTGCTGGGCCCAGTCCTCACATATTCTTTCTGTCTAATTCCTGGGTGATCTTGTGTCATCAAAAAAGTTAATGGAGCAAGGAGATCTGAGCTTGTGAGTGGTCCACCTAGCCAGTGGTTCAGATAAACCTTTGCCTAAGGAATGGAAGCCATGTAATTCTGTCCCTCGTTTTCAGGGTATCTGGAAGATCATAGAGCAAGAGGAGGCCTGTACCTAGCAAGAGAGTGTCAGCAAAGAAAGCTGCAGGCATAGGCACAGTCAGCTAGACTAGTCTGAGTTTCAGAGACAGTGGGCATTCCTCTAATGTATTTCTTCTGTAGGAATAAGCAGCAATGAGATCTATCCCATAGGATACACTGTACCTTTCAACTCTTTTCTGATTAAAATTATTGGAAATCATGGAGGTTTGTGGTGGTGCTCATGGAAGACAGCAAGGTTGCAAAAGGGAAGGTGGGGAGACCCAGAGGTGCCAAGACTGACTGTGAGCTGACTCCTACATGGCGACTTCCTATGCCATTTCTCCACATGGCCATTTCTGGGGAATTTCTTGCCCTCTCCTCTGGTTCCGTGACTCCATCTTTGCATGTTGGCACTTCTGGTGCATGGCTGCTCCACATCGCCCTCTTTCCATTGTGAGCAGTATCTGCAAACCTCCTAACACTCAAGTGCCCTGGTGCCACATCACCACCACTACCCTCCATGGCTTCCCCAAGAGACAGTGTTAAAGTACAGCTCACATCCCCCTCAGCCTTCAGAGCTTGAGAAGCTGACACTGGAGGGCAGCTCCTGATTCTGAAGGCACCCTAACTGAGGCAGCTGGTAGCGTCTTGTCATCCCTAAGGTGGTCAACCAAGTTCCTCACGAATATAAGACCCTCCTTGCCAAATTGCGCATGTTTGGCCTCATCCTGTCATATCATCCAAAAGGATTTGACTTGTTGTCCTGTGACAGGTAGGGAAGATACCCACGTTCCCGAACTGTTGTTTTCCCATGAGCATGAGATAGGCATGAATGTCACAGGCAGCCACAAGTCTACTTATGTGGCTTGAGAATTTAAAGGCATCCTCACATCTGATCTGAATCAAAAGGTCTCCAAATGAGATGAAAAGGTGGTGTTTTTCCCATACACAGATGTGGGAACCAGGGCTCAGTGCATTGGTAGGCTTCCACACAACACCTGTGCTGATATACATCCATGTGGAGTCCTGATACCTCATCCTTCTGGCCCCGAGTGATGCCCCACTTTCAGCAGATAGCTGGACCATGGTAGCCTTAGATTCTCAACAATTCCCGTGGCAACCTCAGAAACTACTTCCAAGTTCTCACTGGCAATTAAGGGATGGGCCTAAGCAACATTTAGTATCCTGTCTTCCCTAAGCCTGGTGAATGGATTATTTTAGAAGTCAGTGTTTATGAGGTACTGCTGCTGGCTTTGATGAGAATCAACACTCACATAGGCAGCCCCCTGGGGAGATGTGCTCTAGTATGGGACTGAGAAAGCATGAGCTGTGGACCTTGAGATGCCCATGGAGGTGGGCACTGTCCTCCCCCATAACCTTACTAACCTGGGACCGGCCCCACACTGAAGGACAGAACCTGGGACCACCATTGAGGTCTGAGCCACCAGTACTCGCTGAGGTAGCCTAGCACAGTTTACCCAGTTTACTTAGCCCTTGAAGGGCCACTGTCCAAGACCAAGGAAGATCTAAGGCAGTGGTGATGAACCTATGGCATGTGAGCCACGGTAGGCTATTCGCTACCATTGAAAAGTCTAGAAGGTTTGCATCACTGAAGACAATCATAATAGACCAGAGGCAGCCAGCTGACAGGTGTTCAAAGGTCTGTGAGTCTCTGCCCAAACACCCTCCTGAAGATTGACTCTAGGCCAGTGTACGGTGTACCAGGACTCACTATCACTGTAGGAACATCTGCCTTTTGGTCAGATATTTTTCTAGTTCTAAGCTCTTAATTTCAGTCAGTTTTGCCTGAAGACAGTGATTTTCCACCACAGCATAGACCTTGTGCAGAGCTCTGTGGCAGGCACCTGTGATTATCAGGGCAAATGTCCCCTATTTGCCCTAGGTCCCCACCCAGGCACTTAGGCTCATCTATATACTCACACACGCAAGTCCGTCCAGCTGGATACTGCCCCCCACACTTCATTCAGCAGATGCAGCTCTGCCACCAACTGCAGCCACCCATGGCACAGTTGAGTTCATCCTGATACGTTTTTAGATTAAATTACTAACTTCTTGTTGCTTTGTTTTTAAGAATGTTGAGCCACCAGATGAATTTGAATCCATGTCTTTCTTCCAGAGACTCTTCACACTCAGCTGTCCCCTACCTTCTCTGGAAAACTTGGATGGGTCATGCCTGAGCCCCCAACTGGCCAGGCCTGAGGGTTCCACAGGCATCTTTTGAGGCAAGACTTCACCCTAGCCCTATGGAGGTTTGGGACTGAGAGTTCTTTGCTGTAGGGCATCCTGTAAATGGTAGGGTGTTTACCAGCCTCCCTGGCCTTGCCTTCACAGACCAGAGGCACGTACACTTCTATCCATGAAAATCAACTTGGAAAATGTCCCCTGAAACCTGAGAACCACTTCCCAAGACATATGAAATTATTCCTTTTCCTAGAAGCCTCATAGCTATTCCAGTGAAGCTAGGTCTGGGTCTGGTCAAAGTCCTTCTGTAGATTTCCACAGTCTAGCTTTGGTGCTGATTTGTACATAATCACTCGGGGCCTTCCCCCCAAGCAAACATGTTTAAAGCTCCAGGATGAACTGGGGTCCAGGCTTTAAACAGTTTGCCCTGGATGCCTTTGTTAAAAAATGCCAGAGCAAGTCTCACCACATGTGGTATTCCCCAAGGCTCCTCAGTTATACCATGAGTTAATAAGACACTTCCGGACTGACAGGTTCCCCAGAAGGTCCATTCAGAACAATAGTACAGAAGTGATCTCCTCTCTGTGGGGCTCTGCAGGGGGGCTGGAAATGAAGCCAAAGTGCCAAGACTTGTGTAGGCAGCAGAAATAACTTGTCATTGTCACCATCTTCGCATCAAGTTCATTATGGAGAATAGTCGCTAAGTGCCCACTTGTGCCTGTGTCTTGGGGCTTCATAAGAGGTGGGGTCTTTCCATGTGGTCCTGTCACAGAAGAAAGAACCACATGGACAGAGGGAAGACAGTGGAGAGAACACCAAAAATAGGAACCCTGAGCGTAGAGGTTCATAATAGTCAACACACATGGGGCATACTAGCCCAGAAGTAGCCAGCAGCTGATGATATACAGGCAGCAAGAGTTAAACAGCAAGTGTGGAAAGTCCTGGTGTTCTGTGTAGCCAGAGGCTCCTTCTTGAAAGTGGAATTTCATGAATGCTGTTAGGAAAGACTGAATGAGAGAGCAGCAGAGAGGGACCAAAGAAGGAAGAAATTTCCCTGTGCTAGTATGATCCTATTTTAAGAGAGATTGTAATATATAAAATCAGCTTTAAAATGTTTTATTTTATAAGATAAAAAAAGTCATCTACAAATAGGTGCATTCTAGCCTTTCAACTTAATCATGTTTGCCTATTTTTAAATTCTCGTCTGGGCTTTCCTGTGTTCTCACTTATGCATTCATTCTTGCCTGCAGCCTGCAGCTCTGTGGACAGCAGATTTCATGAGATGGGATGGGCTTCAAACTCCTGAGCTGCCAGGAATGTGTCTTAAATTTTTGTTTTCAGAAATCAGATGAGTAACATTAATAAAGTTTTAACTGCATTGCTCTTTAAGCTTGTAATTGCATTCCTGATATCCTAGCATATGAATACCCCCAAATCGCAGGAAAACGTTAGCTATGCTTCTTACACTAGCAGGAAATTGAGAACATCTTAAGTAAATGTTTCAGCAGTTAGATGCACTGTTTTGTGTTGGTATGTTCACATATAAAGTGATATTGCACAGATTTCCTAGCAAGTGCAGAAAATTTTATATTACTCTATTAAGTATTAGTGTACAAAACCTTATTTATGGTTTTAAAAAATAAAAAAATGAAACAGACAAAAGAGCTTCAATAAAGCACTACAAGGGGATAACTGATAGTCTCTTAGAAGCCAGGTGATGATTTTAGTCTTTCTACTTTTATGTATTTCCTAATATTTTTATTTTTTCCCCAATATTTTTATAATGCAAAGGAAAAATTCTGGGGGTAAATTGCAAAGAAACGGAGACATGTGCAATAAAAATGTAAAGACTAGAGCAGATTTAATAGGACCCTGAGAACACCTGCACTAGGCTTCCTTCTCATGAAGGACAAAGCAGCGTAGATGCCTTGCACATTTCTGTTAGATTTTATACATATAAAAGGGACTTCCTGTTATGACTCCCCTGATTCCTGCACTAGGAAGGATCAGATGTGTGTTTTTCTCAGATCGTGGGATTCTAGGCTACCACCTGCATGGAATCCACCCTGCTTTTGCCAAGGACAGCTGGGGTGAGCAGGAAACCCCCGTTTGGCAAAGACTGTCCTTGGGTCTTCCCTTGCCTCTAGCTCGCTCCTGGCCGGTGTGTACTGACTGCATCTGGGAGATGCCAATGGTATACTGTCTATCAGCTGTATTAAGGGGCTTTATAATCAGGGGAAACACTACCCTCACCTTCCTCCTTCCTCTTCAGCTACTGGTGGAGCCCCTCCCCAGCCCCCAGCAGAGAAGGAGGCACCCTAAATCCCACACAGTTACCTGTTCCCTGTGAACTCCAGAGACCATTGTTCCCTGTTGACATGCCCAACAGAGGCCAGCAGATGTGTCTCACTGGAATTCAGGAAGAAAGAACAAACTCACCCTCTTCTGTGTTGTTCTGCAGTTCGAGATGCTCACTGGTTCCCTGCCGTTCCAGGGGAAGGACCGGAAAGAGACAATGGCCCTCATCCTCAAGTGAGTGGGGCAGCCACCCCAGAGTGCAAATTTATCATCACTAATCATGGGCCCAAAGGAAGTGGCGTCTCATTCAAGTAGGCAGAGGGGGTTCTTAGAGCTGCCTGGAGACAACATCCCAGATGTGAGCTGGGCATGGGTGCCAGAAAATGGCAAGAACAAGGTGGCCAGGTGTCCAAGTCAGTTTGTCTCTATAGAACAAGGTAGCAAAATTAGTACCACTTAGTGGAGAAGCTTGTAAAGCTGTCCTGTGACTGTAACAAGAACTCTGCTGCAACTGAGCATATAACTTTTGTAAAATCAGAGGCACCTAAGATACTGCTAGTTAAATTTTTGTAAATTCTGTCCTCCTTGACAGGGAATGAGAGATGAATGAAGAAAATCCTAGAGCCAGGACCTGTGTGCAAAGCCAGAGTGCTTGCCTTTTATTTAGTTAGTTTTTCTTCTAGCAAATTCTTTACTGTGGAATGCCTGTGACTATGGCCATGATTCTTGAGGCAACCAGCTCTGCTCACTGGGATTTTAAAGGGGAGCACAATTTTTAGTCTTTTTAAAGCTGGAATAATCCTACAGCACCCAGGGGTAGGCTCGTGCCAGTCACCAGGGAGTGGTGGGGCTTCTGAGGGTTGACATCAAGGTCTATGCCTGGGTCCTCAAGATGGACCAGCCATCACCACTCACTGAGAGCCTCCTTGGGTCCTCAGAGTCCTTCTTTCCCAGGTGCCCCTCCCAGTATTGCAGCAGCCTGATGTAGAGGCTGGTGAGTGTGCCGTTGTCCCCAAAGAGCAAGAAAGAGACTCGCCTTAGCATACATAATGCCACTGGCTACTAAAGGCTTTTTGCCTTAATTTTGGAAACCATAGTTGATTTCCATTAAACATGTTGATGTTAATGGTATCATTATTGCTGTTTTAATACTTTTATTATACTTTCAATGAATAATTATAGTTGTAAACGTTTTCTAATTGCTCTCAATTGTAAAAGTTCTCTTTATTTCTAATATGATAAATATTGTAGCTATAAGCCTCCTAAGACAAAGCTCTTCAGTGTCTTCAAAAAATTTTGCAGTGCGGAAGAGACTTAAGACTGAAGTTTGGGCACTGCAGCCCTCTGTGATTCTGGGTTCTGTTAGTGCTGAATGAGCAGGTCCTCGGAAAAGTGAAGAACCCCCTCTTTCAGCAGCTCCTTCTCAGCCTGAGTGTGCTTGTTTTTCAGAGCCAAGCTGGGGATGCCACAGTTCCTTAGCGTGGAGGCCCAGAGCTTGCTGAGAGCCCTCTTCAAGAGGAACCCCTGCAACCGACTGGGTAAGAGCTTGTGACACCTCTCCCTGGGGGATGTGGAGCCCTGCCACACGCCCTGGGGACATGAAAGGGCTGCCTCAGCTCCACTTTGACTCTCAAACTTGGCCTGGCTAAGGTCTTTGCACACAGAAGGGTCCTGGGCAGGGGTGGAAATACTTTCATACATTGTCTGAGCTCCCAGGTCACCAGGCTGGTTGTGATTTCTTAAACGCATAGTCCTACCAAAGCATTGTAAACTGTTTTCCAAAAGTTACTGAGTTTCACACAAAATTATGTCACTTTCTCCTGATTTCACTTCCCTCATTCTGGAGACTCCATTAACTAAAGACAGAACTATTGAAAAGCCACTTCTACTTTCCTACCTCTTACGTTAAGCAACTCAACAGCTATTGAAATCCAGGCTAGCGTTAACTAATCTCTGATTCTCTTTCTTTCTGTTCTGTTGACCATGTATGGAGGGGTTTTCCGAGATGGCCTGGGAGATCTCAGGCAGGCTTTAAGATGTCCTAGGACTGGGGCTGGGGATTTAGCTCAGCGGCATAAAGCGCCTGCCTGGCAAGCAGGCAGTCGTGAGTTCAATCCCTCGTACCAATAAAAACGAAAAAGACAAAAAAAAAAAAAAAAAGAAAGATGTCCTAGACCAGGTCCACTGAGATTCATTAACAGGACTACATGAGCACAGGGTGCTGTCCAGGTTGCATTCTTATACAAATAAATGCAAGGAACAAATTAATCACTGCTCTTTTAACTCTAATTTCACAGATTCAAAGCAATTAAGAAAGGATGGCAAACGTTAAATCAGAAAATATTCCATTTTAGAAAAAATAATTAGATTTTCTTCTCTGCCTGGCCCAACCCCACAGGAACCTCAGACCCCATTAAATTTCTTTCACATATTAGCTTTAACTTCAGAGAACTTTTTCATTAATTTATTATTCTTCAGTTATTAAAAATAAAACTAATATTAAAAATATGATTCTAGTCCCTTGGAACATTTCACAATATGAAAGATTATTTATGTGCAACAACTTTGCAACCTTAGGAAAAGGGCAGTTAAACAATTCTAAGCAATTTATGCATTTAAACTATTGAGTAATTCACATAAATTTATATTATTATGAATTTCTAATGTTATTCTCTGATTATTAAATATATGAACATTCAAACTACAATCCAAGTTTTATCTTTCATGTATTTATTCTTTCCTGCTCACGTTTCTTTCAAAATAACCTTTGTAAAGTTTCCTTATAGTTACCTTTAATGATAGTTGCATATAACTGAATATTTAAGACATCTATTTTATAATTGCTCAGTGGCATAAAAAAAGGAGGGAAAAACAGACAAGTAAACTCAAGAGGACAAGTTTATCTCAGAACAAACCTGAGAGGTACTGCTCTGGCACAAGAGACCAGGCCCATATTTCTCATGCAGGCTGTTGGGTCTTTTAAAGAGTCATAGAGGGAGGGCAGGGAGTTCAGTGTAAGGGGGTCGTGGCTTCCTGCCAATGATACTTGCCCAAAGATGAGCTTTGGGAATGTGCCGAGAGTAATGGTTGTTATCAGTAGCAGGAATGAATAATATGGGCTGATATCCGTAGCAGAATGGATAATGCTATGAGTCACTGGGACAGCAGAGCTGGTAATGTTGAGTCACTAGGTACAGCTGTTCTGGGAGCGGGGTTTAGAGGAGTCTCTGGTTAGGATGACAGCAGTCTGAGTCTTTCAACAACTACGGTAGTCATTTATTTCTAGCCACCAAGGGCCAGTGGCATCCCCTCCCTACCAACTTGTGCCTCTGAGATGTCTCTGGACAACCCTGGCAGGTGTCCTGGTAAGGAGGACTGCTGGGTCTGGACAGGGAGGTGCCCAGTGGCTAGCTCAGAATGCAGAAAGAGAAATTCTGGCCTGTTGCGGGGATGTGCTAGGCATTGGCATCTTGACTGTATCTGGGATAATGATGGTGGTCCAGTCAAGTGAGCACGATAAATACTGACTGGTGAGATACTGTGAGCCTTTTATAAGGTGGCCCCGTGGGATCTCTAGGTTGAACCTGTTGACTTGTGGTCATGACTGAAGTGCATGCAGTGGCTCTAAGGCTGTGTGTGCTGGGTTTGCAGTGCAGAGGTTTGCAGTTTGGGCTCAATAGAACTTCCCTGAAATGTTGTTCCTGAGATGAATTCCAAGTAGAACCCAAGGCCTCATCGGAGACTCCATCAACCCAAGGCCTTGTCATGACTCTCCTGGTGGGTTAACGGCTTGTGACACTATTGCTGGGCAATATCACCCTGCATCTCTGAGGTCAGCAGTACCCACTGCTCTGCTCTCTGCACCATGAACTGTGTTTGGGAATTCCTTGTATTTGTTCCTAGATTCCCAGAAGTGACAAGCGCAGTCTCTCAGTGCTCCTTCTGGGACGGAGTCCATGCCTGCTCTGGGCTTGCTGCAGGTCAGCATCCCAGCATAGGGTGGTGCACGGAGCAGCAAGACTCCAGATATGTCTGACACTGAGACTGCAGATCTCAGTTCAAACAGCCTGGCCAGGCAGCTGGCAGCCTCATCACACTATGTGAGGAGGCAGAGAGAAGACACACTATTTTTCCTAACCCTGAGCATCTTTCCTGTGGGCACACACTTCGAACCAGACATAATTAGGATGAATAACCATAGCCTCAGTTAAACCGATCAATGAAGAACCCCAAGATTTGTCTCTGTGTCCCCTCAGAAATCCTAACTGCTCACCTCTGATTTGATGTCCGGGTCAGGAATTAAATAAATTAGCATCTGTTGAAGTGTCCATAGGTGCCAAAGCAGTACTGCAATGGCCTCCCTAGACCAGCAGCCATAACCTGCCATCAGAGATCTGCCTTCCAGCTCAGTGGATCCCAATGCAACCAGAATACACTGATTTATAACACCACAAGCCACCACAAAGTGTATGTGGACATCTGTGTCTGTTATTTGTGTTCATTTCTGCACCCCTGCAACCAACCCATGGCCTAGAGCCCTGGTCCATCCCACTCCTAATGTTGGTCCCAACTGGGTTGCACCTTGGCTGTGAGTCTGCTCCTTCCCAAACATGTACTGTCCAGCATGAGTGTGACATAGCCAGTGTGACATTGACATACTGATAGGAGAGTGGCGAAGAGGATGGGTGGCAGCCTCTGACACTCTCTGCCTGAGCAACTTCTTACTAAGCCAGGTGAACAAGCCAATGGATTTCCCAGCATTTAGGCTCCTCCCTGGGACAGTGATAATGACATTCATTAAGACTGTGCTAGTGTTATCATTTTGTATTTCAATCTTCATGGTGATGCTGCAAAGGTGGACAAAAGGAGAAATTCATGGATTCGTGTATGAAAAGTAGTGCATGCATAAGAATTGCTTTTAGCTACAGAAAACAGAACTTGTTTATTTTCTCACAATAGATATACACAGTGGTGTTGGATAAGTTGTAGACATTGGTTTGGCAGCTGGGCTATTGTTATCAAAGGCTGTCTTTTTAGTTTAGTCATCCTCAGCCCACTAATGGCCTTTTTATCTTCATGCTTGATGTCTTATGATCACAAAATAGCTGCAGTAGCTTGAGGCATCGCATCCATATTGAAGGAGGGAAAAGAAGGAAATGGATGCAGTTAGCTACATTAATATCAGGAAGATAAAGTTTGTCAGGAAACCTCTGAGACTTCCCTAACTTGCTGGCTAGAATTGTCACTTGGCACTTTTAGCTAACACAAAGGCAGGAAAGCAAGTGTCTGTGGTTGGAGTGGCAGGAAAAGAGGACTGGATACAAGGGTTCATTAGGAGCCACTACGGGTCATCAAATGTGCTGGAGCGGGGAGCTCCAGGAAGGCAGAGGCAATGTCAGGGTCACCACACCCTGGCTCCTGGGTCACACTGAACTCCCAAGGGGCGCTAAATGAACTGGAGCAAATGGAAGAATGTGAGTGATCTCTAGGGTGCCTGAAACGTCCTGATTCTGACATGCTGGGTTCAGATTGGAGTCCAGCTGTCAGTATTCCTATTTGTCACACTCCAATTTCCTCATCCAGAGAGAAAGCAGAAAAGATAACAAGGGTATATGGATGAGACACACCCATAGTGCAGCACAGCATGGCCCTTGTGCATCTTTACTTGTGCTCAGCTGGTACTCTCTTTCAAAGTGCTTTTCCCTAGTGACTGTCACACTCTCATTTGTTGAGCATTTCGCACCTCCCTAGCAGTCTCATCTGAGACCTCCCTTCACTTTTCGCAAGCCAGCAAAATGAAAATGCTTGAGCAGACTCTGCTGCGACCCCTCAGGCCCCCTAAGGCCTCTGAGAGCAAAGGAAGAAACTTGGCAGTGGGAGAGACTCCGTCTGCTCTTGCCTCCCTACAAACTCCTTTCTGGGGGCTTTGGGGAAGAGCAATCCATGTACCTTACTTAGCAAGGATGTGTGGCTCATTATGCTCATACCACTGGAAGGGGATTTGGGCCCACAATTTAAGTATCAGAGTCCTTGACTTTTTTGATTCTATGAGGTGAAGATATGTGCCCTACTAACTGGTAGCGTCCCAGAGCTTCAGGGACTTTTCTGTTTTGCTGTTATGGAAAGAATGGTGGTCACAGACAGTGACAGTGCCCACCACATGAGTCTCTTTCCATGCACACAGTGACCAGGTTGTCTGCATGCTGGGGCCCAGACCAGACCCACTGGGGACAGTCACCTTGAGAAACAGTCAAGTGGACAACTCTGCAGTGTTGCCTAGTTTTGACAACCTAGAGTTTTGTGCATCCTCTTCCTGCCATAGGCATTCCAGGCCATCATCCCTGCTGTGACACTGGTGCGTGCCACGGAAGACCTGATCTCATCCAAGACCCCCTCACTCATCTCAGTAGCCACATAACTGGGAGAAGCAGGCACTCTGTCACATTCAGCTTCTTGGGCTTCTCCTACTTCCTCGTCAGGCAGTCAGGCAAATGTCAGGATGCAGTATAGAAAGTTTCAAGGCTGATACACCACCTTT